TCTATTCCATTGCTTGTGTACTGTACCCTTCCAGCTATTTGTCTTCTTACTGGGAAGTTTATTGTTCCAGAGGTAAGAACCAGGTTTATCTTGTTTTATGCGCCATACTTGATTAAATTCTGTGTTTTTGACTCTTTTCGAGTTGATATTAAAGCAGTGATAACTGCTAATTTCATTGATCAAGTTTTGTTTCTTTATCGTAAGTAAATCTCCGCCTGTATATGTTGTTTATTTTTAACTTCTGCTTATCAACTAGGGCCTTGTCTAAACATTGAATTCCAGCACTTGCAGATCAGCAACTATGCCAGTTTTATATTCATGGTGCTCTTTATATCGATCGCTGCAACTGGCATTCTCGAGATGAAGCAGGGTGGTGTTGGTATCAATGACCGGTGCAGAAACGAGCAGTTCTAGGTATGTTTAGGGGACCAAAATAGAATTTTAATGGAGAGTAATAGAAAAAATCTAAAATATATGATAACTTCATATTTTTAGGAGGAGCGACCGCCTTCACCCGCCTCGTCCAGGTCTGATAATGCCACCAAAATTCAAAAAATCTGAGAAATTTAATGATACAAATTGTCTTTATGCACTCCTTAGCATGGTTTTTTGGGAAGATGCAGGGTATGTTGATTTTTGTCATATACTATACTTGTTTTATTTATAGGATAAACTATATAAATGGTGATTAAATTATTAGTAAGTTTCTATTTTCTTCACTAATATTTTAAAATAATAAACACACACATTAATATTATATAAACTAATAAAATGGTTACTCAACCGTTAAATGAAACTGTCGGGTGACCAACGGTAATATAATGTGAACATATAACATAATCTTTTTAATGAATTAATTTCCACTAATAAGATGATAACTTGTTTCATCATCTTATTAATGTGAAAAAGCTGAAAACATGAGAACCCTCGTATGTAAATGAGGGGAATTGATTAATGGGATCTCTTATAAGAGATAAACATGCTTAAGCACTAAGCCAAGGTAAGAACTAGGAGTCTGGGTATGTTTTTCACAATTTTTATTTCACTCGTTTTGGGCCTCTCATAAATGTGAGTTTAATGTCCATTTCATGAAGAAAAAAATCATGTAATTCATAAATCCAATATAAAATCCTTGAAACACTTTAAAATTAAATTATAATAATAAATCTATCGTTAATATATGTGATTTCCTGAAAATGAAACACTCATTTAAGCTTTCAGGGATTATAAAGCTTTCTTTAGTTTTTCCAATTACGAGAATATTGTTTATAGTTATTCCAATATAAGAGATACTGTGACCAAGTTTTTATTGGTCTGAGCCTGTTTCTAACCCAAACAACTCTAACTAAAGTTGGTTTTGTCCGCTATTACAGCAATCGGGTTTTTTTTATTTAGTCCATTAGGGCATCTGGTTTTTTATTTTGGAGAATACGACAATTGCTACAATGTAGCATTATCCCGAGGTGACAAGTTCCCAAAAATACATTTTTTTAATTGATCCGGATGAGTGGGCCCCGCATGAGCCATTAATTTATTGTAATTAATGGGACTCGTCACCTCGAGGTGATGCGTTCATTCGAATTCAAAAAAAAGTAGTCGTTTATAGCCGTAGGTCAACGGGCAATAACAATGGTCAGTAGACAACGATCAACATGTAACTCGTCTCCTTGAGGTGACGAGTTCCACAAAATGAAATTTTAAAAAATATATTTAAAAAGTAAATTAATAATTTTATTAAAATATTATTTACAAACTAGTACATAAAAAAATTTAGGTTTTAATATACAAAAGGTGTCTAATGTATGTCTGTTTTTTCAGTTCAGTGCTTAAGGTTTTTTTCGTTCCAATTTGGTGCCTTACGTTTCATTCTCTAACTCAGAATGGGTCACGCCATGACGAACCGTTAGTTTTATCCATTAAGTGACACATGTCCCAATCTGATAATTTTAAAATTTTCTTTTTAAAAATAAATATTGAAAATATTATTATATTTATAAAAGAAACCCCTTATTTCTTTTAAATTACAAAAAAAAACCTAAATCCTAACACCGAAGCTTACCCACGGCGTCGGACGATGACTACGACGTGATCCACCAAATGGGTTTTGAGCGGACGGCGATGAGGAAGCTAAATATAGTGGCGGTGAGGCGAACGGAGGTCCGAGGCGGTCGGAATCGTCCAAAATTCGAGGCATCGGGGTGGGTTTTCGATAAAACTTCAAGGGTTCGATTCCGGCGAACGACGACGGGTATCCGTGAATTGTTTTGGGGGCTTTGATCATGGCGGCAAGGCGCTTCGATTAGGCTAGGCGGTGACAGAAACAGACGAGCGACGGCGGCGGTCTGCGTGGGTTTAGGGATTGAAATGAAGGTTTTCAAAATTTTGAGATTATTTCAAAATTAATGTGTTTTTAATTTTATAAAATATATACTTTTTGGATTAAAATCATTAAAAATATTTTTACATTGTCAAAAATAAAATAAAGTTGAGGAAGAAGCTGAATCAATGATGTTTCCTTTGAAAAAGAAATTATATTTATCCAATAAAAAAATTAAAAAAATGAGGATGAATATATCAAAATACAAAATAATATTTTACTTACTCTTTCTTGCTCATAAGATCTTCCTTGCAAACTTCATAGCAATGACGCGGCAGTTTCATTTTCTTCCTTTTAGACGTCACACAGCACGAACCCTACAAAACGCGCTTTACGAAAGCCCCATTAAAAAAAAACTTGCCAAATCAATCGAGCACTGGTTTTGCTGGTTTTTGCAAAGGCTATTACTGATGTCGGACTCGGACATGGCAGCTGCTGCTCAACAGCTTATCCAACTCAGCGATGAAGATAACAAAAACAACAATGAAGACATCAACGACAACGTTAAAACAAAGATCAAAGGGAAGAGATGTTTTGAACAAAGTCAAGATGAGAGAACTCGTGCAATGATGGAAGAGATTTTTGGGAAAGAAGAAGAGATTTCCATACCGATTAAGAAGAGGAGGTATCGGTTACTTGAGAGTATTTACAAGGAGACGAAGCCCTTGAAGGTTAGAGATGGCAAGAATTTATGTTGTCGCTATGTGTTTTTGCTTAGAAATTAAGAGATTTTGACGAGTGAGGCTGGAAAAAAATGCGTATATTTGAGAGCAGAGAGAATGGTAGGTTTTAGATGATTGAGTTTGGTATCAATGGCTGCTTTTCCTTTCAACTTCCGTTGCATGCGCATTCACCTGCTATTCTTTTTCTTGTCATTATGTATTCATTCTAATTCATCCATCATTCCATTGGGGTTATCTAATGAAGATATAGATGAAGAATTCAATGTATATATGTAGATTTCTAATGTTCTCGAAACATATAACGTCATGTTAATGTAGTGGCAGCATTCGAATGATACTTTTATCATTATATAGCTGTTGTCATTTCAATAACCACTACAGTAAAATAGGTATGTAGCGCCCTTTTTTAGCCTTATAACGTCGTTTTAAAATGCCGTTAAAAACTCTCCCGGTGCCCAGAAAAACACAGTAAGAAACGCTGCTGAAACAAGCACTGCAACTGTTAGCAGCGTTTTTGGTTAACAAACGCCAGGTTCTATAGCGGAACGCTATTTGAATTTATGACAGCAACCCCTTGTCATCATTTTGTCTCCTTAGTTTTCCATTTTTGTTTGTTGCTATTTGGAGGTCGGCAATTTCTTTGCTGCCGGACGGGGTGGTCCACGTAGGTTTTGGTGGCCGGCTACGTTTGTTATCTTAGTTGTTTATCAATTTCCACGACAGTACCGGAACCCGCTTGAGTCAAAGACATAACAATGGCAGTGGCTAAATGCCGACCAATTTTGGGTTCCAGTACAAATAAAGTATCAACAGCTTTTTGTCAAAGACATAAGGAGTCGTATCATTTTGATTAAATAGAAGCACATATTACTAAATTATCTTTATTTTATAATATTTTAAATTTAGAAGCACATATTGCTAAATTATCTTTATTTTAAAATTTATTTTTTTTACATAAATTTAGGTCTTTAATATTTATTAGTCTTAATCACTATTATAATAGAATCATTTGCTCCAAAGATTCCTCCTGCCTTCCACATATGTATAAATAATCCCAACAAGTGAAAGGATACAGGCTGTGGAAGAAGAAGCAAATAGCTGGAATCCCAACAATAGCTGGAATCCCAACACTTCTACCAAACGATGTCGTTTCCTTCCGTGCTAGTATGCTATCGTTTCTCCTCATCAGGGATAGGCCAATCCTCCTATTGGAATCAATCTGGAGGCTAGAACAAAGAGGAATAAAGGCAATGGTCCAAGCAAGGAATCAGGTGGGATTGAAGATCATCCAATTCATCTGTTGGGAACAAACGGTGTAGCCGGAGCCAGTCTACAGGCAGCAATGAGGTTTAAGAAAGCTGAGGAAAAAAATGCAACTACTGCTGCTGGAGGATGGTGTAACCAAAGCGATCAAGTTCAACCAAAAACCGTCAATGAAGGCCCATCTTCGGGTCGGAGCAAGTCAAAAGCTTCGGAAATCTAGATGCCATGCATCATCGCGTAGGCCATCATACAGCTCTTGGGGACAAGGGAGGATGGTAATTTATCTTCAGAAGTTTGAAGTAGTTGAAATCTTGCTGGCCATTGAAGTCTTTTAGTGCTGTTTCTGCCGTGTAGAGCAGGTAAGGGACATTTTATTGCTTTCCGGATGGTTATAGGAAAGGCATTTGCCGTTTAGTGGTAACTGCAACAGCTTTATTATTGTTATAATGTTCCTTTCAAAGTTATGTAGCGCTTTTCTTATTGGGCATAAAAATGCATACATATTTGCTCATTAACAACATGAATGTCAAGTCTCGGTTTTTCGTTTTTTGTTTCTCTAAATTCTAAATTCTACAAAGTTGGTCAGATTCCAAGAGGAAAGTGGATTTGATTACCCAATTTTCCCCTTAGTTTACAGTTGTACAGTGGGCCTCCAGCATGCAAAATGCAATTAACAATAAAAGAATGTACTGCTCTATTATTCCTAAAATGTAAAAACTGTACAACTTTTTATAGGTTGTGTAAAACCGTAAAGCCTTGTGTCAGAATTCACAGCAAGAACATTCCCTAAACCACAATTAGAAATGACAGAACTGCAAGCCACCAATGGCAGGCTGCTACACATTTTTAACTTGCTTCCGAACCAAACATAACATAACATTACCTTTCAACTTCATGACCAGAGCAGGCATCCATCCACAATTCAAAACACCACACCAATTACAATCTTCCCATCCTCTTAAGCCGCGTTTGCTTGGACTGGCAAGTCCGGCCTGGCATACCTACCAAGTCCGCGCCCCCTTCTTCCCCGGCCACGGCCACGGCCTACATGCATATGATGAAAAGCAAATCATATAGTGTTGATGAAATTAGAAGGTATTACAAACCAATACCAAGAGAATCTAATATGAAATACATCATACAAATGAAAATTTTGGAAGCATGGTTCGGGGCAAAGCCCGGAGATAGTTCACTCCAATAGAAACAGTAAAATCCTCGAAATGTCCAACTATTTTAATTTTCTAAAAATGGCATAAATAGCAAGACTGCAAGTTGCAATGAATTTGGAATGCTGATAAGGGATGTTTCCTAGAAGGTAGGTAGCTAAAATTGTTATTATACCGCAAAAAGATGAATTTTAACTTTAAAATCATGTGTGCCACTTCCAAGATGTGAAACTGAACATTCATTTCTCTTATTCAACTACAAGCTAGCAGCAAACAAATACAACATACTTTGAACACTGTTCCTCAAAAACTTACTACGACCTTGGGCAGGGGGTGCATCAGACTCACCATAGTCATAGTACTCTCCAGCACCATAGCCTCGTCCTCGACCACGGTAAGAATTACCTCTTCCAAGCCCTCGACCTCGGCCACCCATGCCACGCCCACCATCCCAACCATCACCATTGTATCCCCCTACTGCACCATAATTTCCTGAACCCATCAAAGAGGCAGAACGCATCCAATGAGAATGTTCACCATGCAACAAAAAAGGAGTCATTGGATGCACCAGGGCAACTACATTGCTTTGATATAATTATTCTAATTCAAGTAGCAAAGGGTCATAAGAAGTTGTTATACTCAAACTGAAAACTGTATACGTTGTATAGTAAGAATACCTCTACCCCTAGGTCTTCCTCGACCACCTCGCCCCCTTCCTTGCGTCCCTGGTGGCACCTCCGGAGCTAGATGACATCAAAATATTAGGTATTGCAATTTCATTCTCCCTTCAATAAGTACTTGTTTACGAAACAAGATTGCTTACCACCCTCGTCTTCAAATTCATTTAATGGTTTCACTTGATCAGCGGAAAGAGGAGGTTGATATCTGCATTTTAAGAGTAATTAAATATTACCTGAGAAGCACAGTTCAAAATCAAAGAATGGGAAAGCTCAAATGTATTCAATGTTTCTCAATGAAAACAGCATAAATGGTATTAAAAAATCCATATTATATGAGAAAAAGATGGAACCATACAGTTGTATAAAAAGAAAGAGACAATTCTTCAGAATAAACAAAAACGAAGGACAACACATAAATGCATCATTTAATGTCTAAATCCAAAGATGAAATTAGACTACCACCTTTGAAACAATCAAAATAAGTCTAAGCAGTCACTAAATGTTTAAATGTAAATGAAGAATTGGATCTCAACTACTTACCCTACAGAAGACACATCCAGCTCCTTCTTTGATAATGTAATAGTGATCATTGACACGTGACGGGTAGTCTTCAGACTGTAATAAAACAGAACACCGATCAACATAATATATATGGTCTAAACACATGGAAAATGAAAAGAACTTAATAAGCATAAAAGACTCGCTGTTTCATACGGAAGGAGGCCTTCTTCTAGGGGTTCCCACATATCGATTATATCAGTTGATCCAATTGAAGTATTCTGATGAAGATCAGCAATTCTCCTCTGAAAACAGAAACCTTGATATAAATGAAAAAAAATGACATGTATGTATATATGCACTAATAAACATGTAATTGTGAAGAAAGTCGGGAAGATGGAGACATCTTCAAGTTACCTTGATTAGCTCTGCAATCAAGACAGTCTTATTAATTGCCCTGCCCATTGCTTTAAGAACAATCTCACTGGAACTTTTCTCCTACATAAAATGTAGAGGGAAAAAAGTCAAATAAAAAACAATTTAATTTTATATGAAGTAATTTTAATATTAAGGCTTTGATCCCCTCCTGGAAAATTTCAAATATTCAAATTGCAATAATCCCTTTAATTATTCAGTCGGTCATATAATCTCCGTAACTGATTGCTAGCCACACGAAAGATCTGTTAACTGTTAAGACTAAAACACGTTCAATAGAACGGTGGCCCAATTACGACTTTATATGTAACTATAAATGAAATAAATACGCTACAAACGAAGCTTATCGATGTCAATGAAGAGTGCATTTTTATGACAGCATTGCCACTCTACCATTGTTCTCTATAAACCTAATACCAACATAAAAATATACTTGAGTTATAATACACCTACTAAACCCCAATAATCACAATATTGACACTATAAAGCATAGAATTATACCTCCATAGATCTATTCTACTTCTTAAAGTACCTATGTCTGAAGCATGCATGTTTCGACATGCTTAATGGGAATGAATCTCTGGAATGGAAAACTTAAAAAACATAATCGTGTCAAAGTAACATAGCTACTCATCCAAACAATTGTATCACGCAAATGACACATCAATAGCTGAAATAAAGCAAAACATGAAGTGAAATGAAATGAAATGAAAAAAAAAATTCAAATATTAAAAGAGAGAAGGAAGAAAAACGAAGTTACTTGGAGGAGAGTGGTGGCATAGGTAATATAATTCCTCATTCTGCCTTGTGTTGTTATCCTAATTTCATTTTCGTTTATGGGAATCTCTGCTTTCGGCTTCTCCACCCTCTGATACCGATCCATCTCTCTGTCACAAAAGCCTTCTTTCCTACTATCAAAGCTAAATAAAAAAACAATCAAAAACTCTAAAACCAAACAAAAAGAGTTTTTTGTTGGATTTACCTTAAATATCTGCAAAGAAGCTAAGAGAGTGGAACTGAGGCTGAAACCAAGCACCCTTTCTTTTGCATTTTGGTCTCTGGATCTGAAGTTAGAATGGGAATAATGAAATTCAAAATTTTGAAGCTCAGGCGATAAGATCGGGTACATTGAAAGAGTTTTTAATTGTTTTTTTTAATGGGGGTTTTGTTTGTTTGTATGAAATACGAGGACTTGGATGTAAAGATATTTAACGAAATTCAGTTCTAGTTCGGTTCCAGAGAGAGAGAGAGTAGGGCTTTCATTCACTGTAGTCTCGGTCTTTCCGCCGATTGGACCGCCCTCTCTGTCTCACACACACACTCATCCGCCTAACCCTCTCTCGCCGCCCAGCCTACCTCCCTCCGCTTTTCGGTCAAAATATTTTGTATTAATGATGAGTTTAGATCAAGGATTAAAATTTCTGCGTTAATATTTGTTCACATAAATTATGAGTTTAATATAAGAGAAAATTATCTTTTTTCTAGATTAAATTAAGTCAAGAAAAATAAAGATAAATTATATGTTTAGTTTTTAAATTGTTAGTTTTGATTCGTTTTAATACTTAAATTTTTAATTTTTTTTAAAATCATACATAAAGTTTAATTTTATTTTATTTTAGTACTCTATCGTTAAAAACTTTAGTTTTTGTTTCGTTTTAGTACCCGTTAAAAATTTAATATTAAATTTTTAAAAAATTAAAATTTTAGGTACTAAAACGGGTCAAAACTGATAGTTTAGTCACTAATTCATGAAATTTTAGCAACGGGTATTAAACGATAACTAAATGTTAAATATGATTTAAAAAAATTAAAAATTTAGGCATCAAAACGTACTAAAACTGATAGTTTAGGTACTACATACGTAGTTTACCCAAAGATAATGATAAGTTTAAATTGTATGTATCGAGACTAATGTGTAAACTGTAATTTTATGTAAAAATTATTATTTTGCCTAGTAACGAGTAAACATTCATTTTTCTAGCCTAACTTAAAATTTTAAATTATAAAATTAATAATATGTTGATCGATGTGCAAATTTGTATTCATTTTTTCATAATCATCTTAATGCTATAGTGAACAGTAAAAAAATTTTACTCCAATTACATGCTAGACCAACTTGGAAAGTAAATTTTAAACTCCAAATGATACATGCTTCAGCCAATCACATGCAAGAGACAACTTAAGCCCCATACACTCTCATGAAAATAGTAACACAATGACAACTGAAAATCTTTATATAATGTTTTTTCTCCATGATCATATTATCTAATATTAATGTTATATTAATTAAATATCTCCGTAGTTTTTTTTTTCATTACCATCTTTTACTTAAACTTTAAAAACCGTCTCAAATTGCAAAGTATTTTCATGGTTTTATATTTTATTTTGATGTCCCTAATATTTTCAATCAAGATTCAATCTCTAATCTTTATTTTAGATATCGACTCTATTACACGAATCAATTTACTTCAGTGATTAAAGGAACCGTTATTGTTTCTATAAGTCACGGGTTCGAACACCAACGATTGTAGCAATGCGATTGAACATTATTTGTCAAATGATTGAAAATAACCTTTAGTTTACTCAACAAAAAAAACAAAAGAAATCGAGTCTACTTGGAAAACACACAGTAAAACCCAAAAGATCCAGCATCCTATAATGCATAAGCTTTATTGATGTTCAATTGAAACGAATTCATATATATAATTTTAAATGCTTATTATGTTGGACAGATTATTTTTCCTATAATATTCAACATTCATATTCAGAATATATTATAAAACCTTGAATAAAATTCAGCATACTTATAATATATTTAAAATATACATTATGTGCACTGAGTCGTGTCTTTTGACAAAGATGATTGTATAGAACATTGACGCAATAACGAAATACACTAACAAACAACGGTGAGATTGAAGGCTACTACTACTTTTGTCATGCAATTGCCAGAAAGCGCAGGTATCCTTATCCTAGGATTTTATAACCAAAGAATATTATCACACACACACAAGGGAATGGAAGTAAATTATGGAGCTTATTTGGCATTCCTCTTCTCTCTGTGTATTTTTTGTTACATCATTCTGTTCAAAGGGATTCTTTCCTTCTGCCTTGCAAACCTTTCTTGCGGAGATATCACTTGTGGCATCGTCATACCTCCAGAAACAATGATCTCTGCATTATCACCAAAAGGTAAGAACAAAAAAAATATAAACTGAGGAGCAACACTGATTAACGGATTCATCGTCCACGATTCATTCTTGCACATGAAATCAACAAGGTTAGAAAGTATACATCCACAAGGGACAGGTATCGGCATCCGCTGTAATCTAACAAAGGATCTTCAACAAATTTGCAGAGCACAACCCCATAGCAAGAATATTGGGCTCTACTGCAAGGAGGACTCATACAATTTGACAGGTTTTGAATATGGCTGATGCTAAATCAAATACTTACAGACAAACAAGAAACATATACAATCTTTGTTCATTATAACTTGTATTTTGAAGTTTATTGGTTCTAGAGATCTTTACCAACAAATTTTCTCCTATCTACAGAAAGTGAAAGGTTAACTAAAACTTGGAGTCGGAAGTCCCAACTTTTTTGTTACCTTTTCCCAGTCGGGATATTTTGCCATAAATTCAATAACCTCAACAATATGGTTCAACTAAACAAAGTCTTTTCTATGGTTAAGCTCTTCCAGACATGTAAAATATCATAAATCAACATACCCAAAAACAGCAATACGAAGTTTTACTTAATTTTCAAATGCAGGCATTCTTAAGTAAATATAGAGAATGAGAATGCATAACAAGGTAAGAACTTTTTTGGAAAACAGTGAAAATACCTATGCCTTCTCGGATTGAAAGATTGGGCCTTATGATGTCTTTTGAGTTCACCAGGAAGATGTCACCGATGTATAGATGGTTTGTTGGGACAAATACACTGCATAGCTCTTCATCTTCGGTTTCTCTCTACATGCACAATCAACAAGCAGAGCTACTAAGAGAACGTGTAGAGGGGAAAACCAAAAAAACCTTGTAGAAAGGAGCATTTTGCTACTACACGCCTATAAACTGCAACCAAGAACGGCAATCATTCATCTGGGATCTCATAGAATAAGTGGCACATTACAATCATCCCAGTAGGGTTACGACAATCATCCAAGAAATAGGTGTTATCAACCAACAAGATCGAACAGGATGTAACATCTTTGCTAAGCCTAGCAAATAATCAGATTATAGTGCTGGACTGCTGGTTAACGTGTAATCACGGTAAGACTCAATTCTTATCAAGTGATTGAAAAACCCAGACCCCCACCAATCCATATTCACAAACCCTCCCATCCTCACACACAGTCTGCTTAAGTTCTACCTAGGGGCTAGAACTGTAAATAATATGAGACACATCGCGAGCTACTTGATATCGACTCGGTCAACTCTTGAATCGAATAAACTCAATTCGAGATCGAATTCTTAACAAGCTAAAGCGAGCAAACTCGAAAAGCTAGCGAGCAACTCGGAAAAAATATATATATTAAATTTTTAGATTTTTTAAATTAAATTATTATTAATAATTTAATATTAACATTTATATGTTGTTGTTTTTTTAAATACAATATAAGTCTTTCATGTACTTAAGATTAGGTTTGAGTTTGATTTTGAGCTTCAATCAAACTAAGTCTAAGAATATTTCGAGTTCAAGTTTTTTTGAGCTCAAGTCGAGCTTCAATTTTTTATTTCGAGTTCGAGTCCAGCTTGATAATTTTAAGCTTGCAAGCTTTCGAGTTGAGTCAAGTCGAGCTCAGTTTTACACTTTTTCAGCCCTAGTTCTACAAAATTTGAGGTTCATGATCTCTTGGCCCATGGTGTTGGTTCTGCACTTACCTATTACATAGGTTTTCAGAGGGGAGGGGAGGGAGTGGGGGAGAGAATAATGATATGACCACATTTCATGAAAGGCGATGATAATATAAAGGTTATATATCGCAATGTGTATTGGACACATTGTAAAATATAGTGCCCTTTGTATTTACAACTGTAGGAATTGACTGACAGTAAAGGTTTACAGTTCCAAGTGCAATAAATGTCAAACTGTGACTGCATTTTCATAAACACATCTCCACTATGACCAAATAGGATATTGGAAATCCATTACATTATAAGAAAACCGAATGAAAGTGAACAATGTTTTCCATTAGAACACTTTTTCTTTCATGAAAGTGACCAAATAGCATTTATTTTACTCTTTTCCTCCTTCCAATGTTTGTTGATATACTGTTTAGTATATCAACAAGTAAGAAGGGGGTTTTTAATGAGACCTCCAATTTTTATTAAAAAAAAAACATTTCTTTCATTGTCGTTAGACATGCAACACCAATCTCCTTTAGAAAAGATCATAAGATCAGTTCTACGATAAGCACGACAAGAAAAGAACGCCTTTGTCTGCTGAGAAAACTATATATTCAATATGAACAGATGAGAACAATAATATCAAACCTCATCTTTATTTAGCATTGTGTAACCCAAGAGAACATATGAAACATCAGTGGGTTAGTATGCAAGAGACATGCCAATTTTTCTCATAGAGTATAACAAGTCTTGTTCAACATACAAAACCCATAATTTTATATATATATATAATATGTGTGTCTATTATATTTTGTTGTCAGTAAAATCAATTATACCGGAATAAAAGGCAAATTTATGTTTTAAATGGCCATTGAATAACCCAATATAACATGACGAACTGATATGGCATTCGTGGAACAACAGTATATGTTAGCAAAAGAACAGACAAAATACTAAAATAGTACCTGAAGGGTGACAGTTGATGTGATAAAGCCAAATGCATATTCACCAACACGTGGGTGACGAATGATAGCAACCTCCTTAAATGCTGTAGTATTTTGATCTACAAGGAAATTATAACATCTTCGTATTATTGCCAAAAATCAAGTAGTTATTGTGCTTTCACGCCAATCAAGCAGTATAACCTGGCTTTACACGTGAAACAATTTTTAGGATGCAGATCACTTATTGAACTAGATTTACATGAAAAAACAGTTTATCAGAGTCGTTAATTAGGTATAACCTGGGGATATGGCAGCACTAATTTGTTTCGAGGCAGAATACAAATGCCTAACAAAAGGCATTCGCTTTATAACCCATTCTCCCACTGAAAATACAGCAGCTCCCATCCATGATGAAACAAAAACTCCGACAAAGAAGACAAATAGCAGAGATGTGATAAATCCCAGTCCTGCAGAAAGTAATCACAGCTCAGACAATCATTGCTCAGAGCAAAAAGATCCTAAAGAGATCTGAATAAAATGCAAGAATGAAGAGGAAGAGAAGTTCTCTTGGATGACCCAGTAGGTCTCTTGGATGACCCAGTAGTTTGTGGCATGTACCATGCAATAAAAATTCCAAATTGATCACAAAACTCAAAAGCTAAAAAATTATGCAGATCATACATGCTTCTGATGACTTTCAGAAAAAGGGGAAAAGATGACATTTTAAAACCCTCAGGCTACAACTTCTTCAGAAATGTTTATCACTGTGGAGTTGAAAAACTCAATAGCAATCTTGAGTTCAATTCTTCCTCGAACTTCTCTATAGTAGGATTACCATCCAATTCATCATTTTGCGATAAACATACATTTTTAGATTATGAAGAAACTTTGGGGTTTGATGACTGTGAAGTGAAGTGAAGCATAGTGATCATTTCCATTGGGGGGGGAAACTTATAATTTAACCATACTTGACTTATCAAACATCAAAGCCACGAATAATACAATTAAACTTACCAAAAATGTCAATGCCAAGTCGTTCATATAGCGGACTGAAGAATCCATCAACAAACTGAATAAACCACCAAGTAATGAAGAATGTCACAGCCACAGGAAAAAGGACCACACTGCAATTTCGCATGGCAACACGTTGTTACTTGTTGGGCTTGAAATATCGAAAAGAAATAATGGACTACAGAAAATATTTTTGGGAAATATAAAAGCTTATTACCATCCAGTCATGAACTTCTTTGAGACCCAACTTTGAAGAACAAAACAACAAGCCTGAAGAGTCATAAAACAAAAATGTTCAGACATGAAAATAAAAATGCCTTTATTTGTTTCATTATTTATTCTAGGAAAATGCTCTAATAGCTTCTACATTTTCTAAGACCTACACTGAAACTAGCAGATGATTGTTCTTTTTTTTTCTTTTAATTTTCTGCAAACACCATTACTTTAAAACCATTAAAAGTAGTTAAACCCTGACAAGTTCATACTAATGAGTTGAATATATTTAAATTTCTTGAAATTTTTAGCTCTCGAAACTTCCATAAGGTATTTCAACGTTAGAAATGCCACATTGGTTTAACAAAGAGTTGTATAGAGTAAACTTCAATACTTCATATTGGAAGCACTCATTGTAAAGGTCATCCAATTTCACCACATTTTAGTTTTTTGAAGGTATAATTTAAATTCTAAACCCTAGTTCCCGAAGCACAAACGTTTATCCTGAATATTTTTCTACTCCTAATATACTGCTGTTAATTTGTTTTGACGTTAAAAAAATTAATAGGTCATCAAGATTTCCCTCTCAATCAATTCCTTTTCCTTTTTTGTATGTATAATTAAACCAGTTGGCAGTTATTAAATATAGTGAAGAAAATATTATGACAGATCTTGAGCAGTATCTGACCATTTTCAGTTCCTACATCCCAAATTTAGCAGGGATTCCCCTTATCTGCGCTCAAGTTTTGGTTAGTCAAAAACTACATCCAAGTACAAAATTCAATTACATTTGGACAAATATAAATTTAAGAAAAGTCCTACAACACAGATCAGAAACTCGGCGTGATTAATTGATCTATAACTTGGGTTAGTCAAAGATAAAAGAGATAAATAAATAAAAGGGGAGGAAAAGGACCTTGCGAGTGGATGAATTGGGGGAGCTAGGAGGAGACTTAGCCGGATCTTCGGGATCGTCGCCACCATTTTCCGCTTGGCTCAGCGGAATCGACGTTGATTCTTTCTCTTCCGCCATCTGTAGTTTGAGGAAAGTCGGCAGGTCAGATCAGAGATTTGATGATTCATTTACATTTACATGCTTTATATTTAGATAATAAAAATAAAAGAAATAGGGAAACAATATTTGCATCTCAAGCAATGTCGTGTGGGGAATGGGCTTTTGGGGTAGTGTCGCCTTTGGGTTCCCCAACATATATTCGGCGGTAATTTTTAGGGACCGGTATTATACTTCAATATAATAGATAGTTTTATTAGATTAAATAAAATTTAAGTTTAAGATAAAGTATTAATTAAAAAAATAATATAATTATCTCTTATGTATTTAAAAATAATTTTAATAGTATTTTTTCTATTTTTAATTTAATTTTATCTAAATAAATAAATATATATATGTGTCGGGTCAAAACATATCAAATATATATTTTTTTATTTTAAAAATTGAATCAAATTTTAGATTAAGGAATATTTCAAAATAAATTAAATTAAATATAAATAAAAAAATATAATACTCAAATCATATTCGAATAAATTAAAATCTCAATTCAATTAATTTATATATATATATATATATTGGTCAGGAGTGGCTCCCCAGTCCAGGGTCAATGCATACTTAAGATCAAATTGAGATTTACATATGAATTTACAGATTATCCACCAAGAGTGTGACGATGGTAGAATTCGAACTTGATATTACAAACTCAAATTCTTGAATCTAAACCACTTGTGCTAACACTATCGTTGGCTAATTTTAATAATTTGACCAAAATATTAACTAATTGATTTTGGTGTCATGACATAATATAATTTAATTCTAATCATATCATGTGTAGATTGTATGTTGGTTTTTAATCAATTAATTCTGATATTATTTTTTATATTAAGAAAAATAAGTATTACAAATAAGTATTTAATTTAAATTACAAAATCTATTTAATATGTTAATTTATTAGATGGTTTGAATGATTTTAGGACTATTTATTTTCAGGGTTCAAGTAAAAATGCCTAAGGGAATGGGTGATGGGCCCATGGGATGAGATCCGATTATTTTATGATGTTATAAAATCACACTTAAAATTAAGTAATGCATTTAATTAATTAATTAATTTAATATTATATTAGTGATCATGTGTGTAGTTACCCATTTTAAATGGTAATATAATAATTAAAAAAAATTAAAATTCGTCACATCAGGCAATAAATAGATGATCAATTAATTATTATTTCTGATATTTTTATTTTCTAATATAATTTTAGTATAGTTAAATTTTTATTATTTTATAATTAAAATATATATAAATAACAATTAAAAGTAATGGGTTTAAAGCCCAAAAATATTGGGTGCCCCTGGCCCATGCTTTTCAGCGATGGGGAACGAACTGCAGCCATTCTTGTGTAAAACGGTGAGAAAAAAACCTAGTTTCAAATGGTTAAAACCCTAAATTCGCTCTTTATAAACCCTTATCTTCTTCTTTTCTATCCCATCAGCCTCTAAACCTTCAATTCCACACTTTCGTTTCATTTTCTTTTTTTTTTTTGGATCGATGATGAAAAATCCAAAGGCTTGTTTCTCAAAGAACATTCGCAGTGGCCGCCTGAGAGCTTTCGCCTTTCGCCGGGCTAGAGAGCTTTTGCTGTTTCACTCCTTCCTTGGATGTCTGAGAATCTTTTTCCATCTCGGTTTTCATTTTTCTTCGTTCCATCCGCTTTAATTTTTGTAATTTCTCCTAATAGCTTTATCAAAGTTTAATGTTTTTGAACAGTTCGTTCCTGATTATAATTGTTTGTTGTTTTTTTTCTACTTTGAGTTTTCTGTTGCTGAAATATTATACGATCATGTCCTGTTGTCTAAAAAGGTTAGCTGATTCTTTAAGCATTGTATTGATCTACTTTCTGGGTGTTCTTTCTTTAAAGTTTTAAAAAATTTCAATTTTTTATTAGTTCGATACTTTGGTTATTGTTGACTTTACTTGCGTGAAGATGATGCATGTTCCGTTACTTGACGTGGGTGAGGTTGATTTTTCAACAATCACTGTTGACCAAAGTGTTAAGATAATTTAAATTTGAAGCTCTTTTAGTTCAAGTTGTGAACTGAAGTGAAATATTCACGTGAGATTAGCAAATTTTATTGAGCAGGTAAATAAGGTCGATGATGATAACTTGAAAGGCTTGTTTCTCAAAACATTTGCAGTGGCCGCCTAAGAGCTTTTGCCTTCGCCTTCACCTTCGCCAGGCTTGAGAGTTTGTGCTGCTTCAATCCTTCCTTGGATGTCTTAGACCTTATATTATAATATTTGTGCTTATGCCCTTGTGCTTGAAAGGGCTGCTATTTCATTTATTCTTTTGCTTAGTTACTTAATTAATTCAATTTTGCTACACTTTCTTTCATGCCGTGATACTACTCTTATACTAGGGTATCTTTTAACATCATTAAATTTGTGCGTTTTAATGGTTTTGTTGATGATGATAAATCCAAAGGCTTGTTTCTCAAAAACATTCGCAGTTGCCGCCTAAGAGCTTTTGCCTTCGCCAGGCTTGAGAGCTTGTGCTGCTTCACCCCTTCCTTGGATGTCTGAAACTTTAACCATAATTCTTTCTAATTATTGGTTTTAAACTTTTTGTACTTTGAACATAATTTTGGTACACTTTCCTTCATGCCTTGATACTACCCTGTATAATAGGGTATCTTTTAAAATCATTAAGTTTGTGCGTTTTGATGGTTTTGTTGATGATGATAAATCCAAAGGCTTGTTTCTCAAAAACATTCGCAGTTGCCGCCTAAGAGCTTTCGCCTTTGCCAGGCTTGAGAGTTTGTGCTGCTTCATTCTTTCCTTGGATGTCTGAAACTTTAACCATAATTCTTTCTAATTATTGGTTTTAAACTTTTTGTACTTTGAACATAATTTTGGTACACTTTCCTTCATGCCTTGATACTACCCTGTATACTAGGGTATCTTTTAACATCATTAAATTTGTGCGTTTTGATGGTTTTGTTGATGATGATAAATCCAAAGGCTTGTTTCTCAAAAACATTCGCAGTTGCCGCCTAAGAGCTTTCGCCTTTGCCAGGCTTGAGAGTTTGTGCTGCTTCATTCCTTCCTTGGATGTCTGAAACTTTAACCATAATTCTTTCTAATTATTGGTTTTAAACTTTTCGTACTTTGAACATAATTTTGGTACACTTTCCTTCATGCCGTGATACTACCCTGTATACTAGGGTGTCTTTTAACATCATTAAATTTGTGCGTTTTGATGGTTTTGTTGATGCTGATAAATCCAAAGGCTTGTTTCTATAAAACATTCGCAGTGGCCGCCTAAGAGTTTTTGCCTTCGCCGGGATTGAGAGCTTGTGCTGCTTCATTCCTCCCTTGGATGTCTGAAACTTTGAACATAATTCTGTCTAATTATTGGTTGTAAACTTTTTGTACTTTACTTCGAACCATGCTGATCCAGTTCTGGTATTTGAATTGTATTTTGTCTGTTTTGCCATCTGTCTTTAGTTTTGTATATCCCAGGCCAACTGTTCCCAGTCAAACTGGCCCCTATGCAACTGAATGTTCATTTGCCGTGAATCGTTGACCATTTTGGCGAATTCAGAAACCTCCTCAACTTTATGATCGACCAACGTGAAAACTCAAAGGATAATGTCTTTTGAAGCAATAATTTCGAGTCACTAGGAGTCCGTCACCAAGGTAAACCAGATATCGTCTTCAACAGGGTCATAGGGGGCTGTCAAAGGCTTTACAACTCTCTTCCATAATCTAACATTAAAGGGCCACAAGCTCGTTGAAGAATGCTCATACATAGCAGTTCAAATATTTTTCGTTGGTGGGATTTTCCAACTGTTAGAACTTGAAGATTATTTCTATACATTGTTTGATGTTTAAATTGTTATTTCCGATTCGATGATTATTATGTTAATGCTATTGTATCGTCTGTATTAGTTTTTGTGTATTTAGAAAATTTTAAATTGATTTTGACAATTTACACAGCGTTTGAGAAAGAGAAAATCATTCATACATTATCTTGTATGAAAATTTCTATAATACTTGGATGTAGGGTTGTAAATGTACTATACAGATCGTGAGCTACTCGAGATTGATTTGATTTTGGCTCGATAAATATTCGAATCGAATGGACTCGAGCTCGAACTTGACTCGAGTTCTTAACGAGCCGAAATGAGTTACTCGATACTCGACTCGAAAAGCTCATGAGCAGCTCGAAAAAAATGTTATATTATAATTTTAGGTTTTTTAAAATTACATTATTAAAAATATATTAAAAAACATTATTGATGAATAAATATTCTTGAATTGAAAATGGTTAAAATTTATTTTTGAATAAATTTTCTTATATTTATTTTAAATTAATAAAAAAATTATTTATCTAATGACAAATATTTAATATATTTCTAATGATAATATTTGTAATAACTAATTTTTTGAATTGTTGTTATATTTTGAGGTTTCGAGTTCAAATATCATAAATATAAAGGGTTTGAGTATTTAATATCAATATATTATATTTTACTTATCTCATAACTATTTTTTTATTTGATAATAAATATAATATAATAAAAAATATGATTCAATTTAAATATTAATAATTTTAAAAAATATATCAAAACAAGTATACTCTCTCTCCTTTCACTAAGCCATCTCATTCCTTCTAATTATGTGATAAGGTTTAGAGTTTAGGGTCTAGAGTTTATGTGATATGATTTAAGATTTAGGGGGTTTATGGTTTATATTATAGGATTTAAGGTTTAGGTTTAAGGTTTATGTATTAGGGATTAGGTTTAGGGTTTAGGTTTAAGTTATGCACATGAAGGTAACATACAAATTATGCAAAATGATGTTATGCGACTCATAAATAAATCATTTGCATACTTATACATAAACATATCAACATGCAAAATAAATATACACAACTAATTAAAGAAAACAATCCTAAACATGGACTAAATTAATAGAAACCTAAATGTGATGACTAATTTAAGCTAAATATACTAATTTTAGAATGATGATTAAATTCACGTAAATGTAAAATTAAACTTACAAAATTGTAATTAAACTAATGACTTAAATACAAAATGTGCATAAATTATAGGGTCTTATATGCAATTGATCCTATTCAGTTTAACCTAAAATAATATGGAAAATAACATAAATGACACTTGAACATTCAAAACAAATAAGAAAATTTAAACAAATGTGATTGAAATACAAAAATTAAAATATAACATACCAAAATATAAATTTATTAAATATGCATATACATATTAAACTAATGACTAAATTTAAATAAATCTAAAATTCAACATACAAATCAAGAATTAAATTAGGGATTTACAAAAGGGTGCTCAAGCAGTCTAGACTTGGAGCAGTCCGCCACCTGGTATCGATGATTCCTTCTAAGGACTTACCTGCAAATTATAATGCATGCGTAGAGTGCGATATTTAGATGAACGTAGCCAAACCAATGTCCCTGAAACTTGTCCAGTGGAGCAAAACACATCAAAGCTCTTGGCTAATCAAAAATTGTTCCTTAATGGTTTTCTTGGAAATGTCTTTATGGCTAAATCCTGCAATCTCTCGATGGATATTGATTGGGTGGAACTTGTATGCCCTAACTGTTTATCACTCCTGGGAGCTTGTCCTTTTGATAATGGTGCTGCACCCATTGATGGTGCAGTTCGATTATTCAAATGCTACATTTCAGCTTGTTCATCAGCTGGTGGACCAGGGGACTTATTCAGGTGAGCACAAAACCGTTTGGCAATTAGGCACAATTACCATAAAGATATTTTGTTCTGATTTTTGCTTATATATGAGTCATTATGGTGATTAGATACCTGTGAAGAGTTGCTTTATTGCTAATGATAAATTTCTTACTGTGGGCTTAAAGTTTGCTCATCATGAACAGGAAATATAGCTTGGAAAGCATGTTCACTAATCAGCTACTGGAAAATGCAAAAGATGAATTGTCATTTCGGACTTTGGTTAGAGATTTAAAAACTAAGTCTCCCTTGTTGCAAATCGTTCTGCTAAATCCAAATTCTTGGTGCTGTTCTGGTTATTGCTTGGACACTGCTAGTGCAGCAGAACCTAGTCTAAAGTTAGATTTACTCCCTGTTATCAAGGTCAACTTTTCTGATTGTGGTGAAACTGCAGCATCTCAGTTTAGGTCCATCTCAATTGAGCTCATGATTGTCTCCTTCCTTTTTTAGCACGATAAGCTCATTAGTTTTCTGAATGGCTTAACAGATTGCATTAGTTGTTTCATATTTTGAAAACTTTTGACGCTTTTGGTCTTATGTTCTGTCTTTGTTGATAAGAATTGGGTTCTAATTTTCCCCCATTGGTCCATACATTTGTAAATCAGGGGAAATTGAAACAAGAAAAGCAAAGTCAATGGTACTACTGATATATGAATTACATGCTTGACTTGACACTAATAAAACTTGCTTGCTCTAAGGATGAAAAAGAAATATATGTTAGGATTGGATTGTCAGCTTTTATTACAAGATTCAGAAATATATATTTATATAATATAATGTTTGGACACCTGGAAGTATTCATTGTATCATTACTGTAATCTCTTTTATTCAATGTCTATTTCATTTCCGTGTTCAAGAAGTCTGTCAATGCCCTCCAACATTAACTTTTGCATTCATGTTATTTCCCCTTAAATGCTTCTCTAGTTCAGTGAATAGATTGTATGTCTATTTTCATTCGGAATTCATAGAATTCATCAGTACTAAATTTTGTTTCAATGCATTAAAATTGTTTTCCCACTTCTGCAGGGTACATGAAGATTGGATAACAAAGAATGTAGGGGATGTGGTTTGCATGTCTGCACGGCAAGTAGATGAGTTAATTCGAACTCTATCATCGACAAAAGATATATTTCCACCTTCATATAACTTTCTCCAGGGTTTACCTCTTTCATCGTTGCCACGATAGAGATTATTTTTTGTGCAATAGCTTTGATCAGCATATCCTTGTGATGCTATAGAGTCAAGTCATTGACTCATTGTAAATACAACAACAAAATTTAAACTTGTGAGTGGTCTTTTATTTTGCAAGTTCCTTTTGTGGTTGGTTTGAAGTCACCACTATTTTAACGCCAAAAATCAAATCGTCGTCATGAAATTCATCCCTTTTAAGCACCAATAGGTAATTAATTATATACAAACACATTTGTTATCCCATAACTGGACATATAGCTAAACTAAGTCAAATATATCATCTTGATTCAGACTCTGCAAGCTCTGAATTTTGCCTTTCAACCTTCTTTTCTTCTGTTTCTTCCTCTTCTTCAATGATCCTTTCCTTCTGTTCAACTGCAGCTTTCTCTATATCCTTCTTCTTTGTGTTAAGAAATTCGGTGAGACCTTGGAGTGCAACTCTGGGTTCATCACTGATCATCAGTTGTTGTGCCACTTCAGCAGGAGTAACTTCAATACTTTTAATCAAATCATCAATGCAGCCAAACAGTTTGTCATCTTTGATTCCAATATATGAAGATGCAAGTTTCCTGAATCCTGCTGGTTAACAATATCCCATGTAAATATGCACATTCATTCGCCCTGGCCGTAGCAGTGCTGGGTCTAACTTTTCCTTATGATTTGTGGTAAAGATTATGATTCTTTCGTGCCCACAGCTTGACCACAAAACTTATGACAGATTTTCAAAACTTGCCTGCGGTAATTGATGTAACAAAAAAAATTATGATCAATATAGAGTTGAAAGTAACGATGAAAGAAATAAGGCTTTAAAGAAAAAGTTAACAGACTTTGAAAACTTGCCTTCTTCAGGATTTGCAGAGCTTTGTTTCCGCGTCGACAAGGAAAGGGTATTGCAAATAAAGCTGCTGAAATGAAAATTTAGAGGCAACGAGAAGATTCAAGTCGATGGGGTCTCAATTCAAATCTCGTGAGACGTGTATAAGTGGTTGTTTGATCGGGATTTGAACAATGGGCATGCGTTTTTTTGTGTTTAAGTTTGAGGATGAAGATGAAGGCTCTGAATTTCTCGAACAAGTAGTGCTCTCAAGTCTCAACAATATCTACATCGTCCAGATATTATAAGATGATAGGACAAGTTACCTATAAAATAAGCGGGCTTGTGCAGTTCAAAACTTACCTTTTTCGGCTTGTTTGGCTAACAATTGGGCTTGAGTTGAGTTTAAAATTGAGTTTGAATTGAATTTTGAGATTGAGTTTTTTTGAGTTTGAATTGAGTTTAATTGAGTTTAGGTTTTGAGTTTTAATTAAACTTTGAGTTTAAGTTTTTTTGTGTTTAAGTCGAGTTCTAATATTATATTTTGAGTTTGAGTCGAGTTTAATAATATTTAATTCGTGAATTTTTGAATCGAGTCAAATTTATTTAGTTTGAGTCGAATTCAACAATACTCAAGCTTAACTTACACTCCTACTTGATGCAAGATGTTGCGTGAACTGTGTCAACAATTTACTTTGTCTCAAAATAGTTTATTCTTAATTTAAATCGGTAAAAACAATACCTATAATAATTTTATACCAAAATTCAAATCAATTTTAATTGGTCAACTTTTTCATTGTGTCTAAAAAAATAGGTCTGGTTTGTTTTTGATTTTTCAGTATTTATATATATTTTTAACTTTATTATATAATCTGCTATTGCACCATTATATCTAAGTGTTTTTATCGAAAAATCATCGGTGATCGATATATTTACTGATTTAACACCGATCAGATTATATTTCCCAGTCTAACACCCGTAGCAGTAAAGCGCACTCCTGTCCTGTGCTATATGTTGATTTGGCGTCACGTGGGATATAGCGCACCCCCTGTACCGTGCTATACGCTGACATGGCTTACACGTCGGTATAGCGCCCCCCTGATCCGCGCTATACACCACGTAGGGGTATAGCGCCGCCCCTGCTCAGCGACCTTTTATCTGAATAATTACATATAGCGCAGTGTAGGTACTGCGCCTTATATGGTTATAAATACCCTCCACTCCCGGTTAAGTTTCTCACATCTCTCCTCTCAACTTATAAATTAATATAACAATTTCGTCAACGAGTAATAATTCTAGTAATTTTCTCATATTTAATTTAGAAGTTCGTGCGATTTTTCGTTATAAATTTTTTTATTATACTTATTGTTTATTATGATTATTTGAAAAAATATTATACTAATTATTTTCAATTAATTTTTGTGTTTGTAAAATTGAAAAGTAAGAGCATACGTCAAAATAGTTTTGCGGTGCATGTAATAATATAAAATTATATTATTTAAATTATTTACGTTGATATGTAAAAAATTTATTGTATTATATTTTCGTTCATATATAATTTATTTAATCAGGTTTGTTTCAGTTATTTTTTTGCAGATATAATATTGCCGCACTTTTAAACTCAAAGAATGGCTTTCAGCTATTGTTTATTATGATGGTGAAATTCGAGAAGATAAAATCGACGTTGTTTTCGTATCAAATGAGTGTGTTAAAATATCATTCAAGAGAAACATAACTCTTGAGGAGCTGATAACGAAGATTTCGAGGAAGATTCATGTTGGAAGTAGTAGAAAAATGTCGTCGTTGAAGTACAAATTTCCAACATCATTGTTGCCATTAACTTATCATCGTTCGAACTTTCGAACAATGATGATGTTCAAATGATGGTTGAAGCTCAAAGTAATTATTCAGAAGCCGCTATTGAGATGTATGCACATTTTGTTCAAGTGTGTGCTGTTCGGGGTCAATCATTAAGCTCCCACTATGGACTGGCTAAACAAGTTGATCAAGTTGACAGGCTGACTACAGTAATGTGTAATGATTTTAATGCCATAATGGGGAGACATTCATCCGTAACTCCTTACGATATGTACCAAAGTGGGTCCACGAATAACCCGTATGGCAACACCGCGTCCAGTTCAAGGGGAAGACATTCATCTGTAAATTTCTTTGACCATATGGAGATGCTATCGACACAACCATTTGTGTAGTTTCTATTTGACACGATGGCTTCAAGCTCCAGGGGAAGGCATTCGACTGCGAGCTTTTTCGATCTCAATGTCGATATGCCTTCCAGTTCAAGGGGAAGGCGTGCAAGTAGTAGGTTCTTCGACCTAAATGTGGAGAGCATGGAGGAACCATAATCTCTACCAAAAGAACCGCTTCGTGAGCCTGGTGTGGATGGTGCTGAGACTGGACTATTCATTCACCCAGAATCACCACAATTCAACTCCGATGATGATGAAGTTCTAGGAAATGTTGCACAAACTGACCCTTCTACACACATGTATGAAGCTGATTATGGTGCAATGTACGAGCCATAATTTGTGGATATGCCTCATCTCGGTGACTATGAATATTACTTATCAATAAATAATGGTGAGTTATATTTAGGCATGGATTTTTCAAGCAAAGAAGAAGAAGTGATGGCTATAAAAAATTACAATATCCGTAATTATGTTCAGTCCAGAGTCAATCGATCGACGACCAAAAAATATGTATGTTATTGTGCCCGACGCGAAAACGGATGCAATTGGATGGTTTGCGTATCGAAAATGAAGAGGAAAAACAACATATGAGAACTAACAGTATACAACGGTTCTCACACATGTTGTACTGGAGGGGCCAACCAAGATTATCCTAACTTGGACTCAGAAATGATATGCCAAGCCATTATGCCCAAGGTAAAAGCAAGCTCTCATATAGATGTTGTTGTGTTGATTTCAGCTATACAATCGAAGTATGGGTACGCTGTCTCCTATAAAAAAGCTTGGTTGGCAAAACAAAATGCCATTGTCAAACTTCATGGCGAATGAGATGCATCTTATAACGAACTTCCAGGTTGGTTCAGGCTGGTGCGGATGTTGAATCCTGGGATAATTGTGGACTTCGAAAGCTCCTATACATACCATAATGATCGAGTTCTTTGCGATCGAAGCCAATTCTACCAGGTTTTTTGGAGTTCCCCACAGTGCGTTAATGCTGCCAAATACTGCAAGCCTGTGGTCCATATCGACGAGACTTTCTTGTATGGAAAATACAAGCAAGTTTTATTATTGGCAGTTGTCCAAGATGGCAATCGCAACATTCTTCCAGTTGCTTTTTCACTTGTCGAAGGAGAAGATACAGATTCTTGTGCTTTTTTCCTCCGAAATTTACGTGCACATGTTATCACGAGGGAAAACATCTGTGTCATTTCAGATCGCGGAGCTGGGATCAAAGTAGCAATGGAGTCTTTGGGTCCAATGTGGTAATCACCCTTTGTCCAACATAGGTATTGTCTTTGACACATTACTGCGAACTATCATGGAAGGTACAAGAAGAATGATGAGCGTCAATTAATTGTGCGCATAGGTAAGTGAAACTGATGTAGTTTGTTTTCTTTCAATCGTTTTAATTTTGCAAAGAAAGCAAGTTAGTAAGTTATACATTTTTTGATTAGGTTACGAACTACTTCCTCGAATATTTGAATCAATGCTTCAAGATTTGTTGGCAAAGAATGAGGAAGGATATGATTACATCAGCCTCATCGATAAAGAAATGTGGACGAACGCATATGATGGTGGATATCGATATGGACACATGACGACCAACTTGGCTGAGACAATCAATTCAACCTTAAAGGGTGCACGTCACTTACCTGCAACAGCTTTGGTAAAAACTACATATTTTTGTTTGGGAGTGCTTTTTGCGAAGCTCAGGGGACAAGCTCAAACATGGATGCAAGGCGGTCATATCTATCACCCTAGATTAGTTGCTGATCTACAGAAAAAAATTGCTGCATCAAATGGAATGTCTGTAACAAGCTTCTCTAGAAGGCATGAAATATTTCGTGTCACAGAGTTACCGCGACCTCTTCAAGGGATTGAAGTTGTCGTTAAGAGTAAATCTAAGGGACAGAACGTGCGACTACGGGTTTTTTCAAGCTCTGAAGTATCCATGCTCTCATGTGATAGCAGCTTGCTCCCATACACGTCAATACTATAACCATTTTGTGGATCCCGTATACCTACTATATGAAGTTTTTAAGGTATACGAATTTGAGTTCCACCCATAGTTAATGACAAAGACCCTGATGAGGTTTAAGATTGGCTTCCGATTGTACCAAATCCGAGTTTATTGAGGGAGTGTGGTCGTCCAAAATCCAATCAAATTCATTACGATATGGATATTCGAGAAAGATCTAGACAAGACAGAAGATGTGGGCATTGTAGAAACCCATGACACACTAGAAAAACATGTCCACTTCTGTTGCCATCAAGTAACAATTGATGAGGAAATGATGTATTTGTTTATCAAATAATAATTAAATGGTAAATGATAACAAAATTATAATAACTGATATTAAATGGTAATAAACAAATTTAACTAAAATACATTAAAAAAAGTCTAACAAATTTTTAAAAATACGGTAAGTATTAAATGAGAAATAATAAAAAATTACAATTTAACAAAATAAAGTAAATACAAATATATAAAAAAATCTATTGATGCTTGCGTCGCGAATGTGTTCCGCATGGCGGTGGTTGTCGGTCTCAAGGAGGATTTCTTCGTATCACTGGTTCTGACTCCTCGCTATCATCATCATCGTCGTCGTCGTCGTCGTCCTGAACATGTACATTAAGTTGATGAGGAGCTTATGACGATGAAACACCTCCATAGAATAAGGACCCTGGAGGTGTATGACTGACTATCCCACCGGCCTGCGCAAACTAGGAAAACTCCTAAAACCCAGACATCGCTGAGTGTGAAAACTATATATGAGGTATCTGAGCTGCGGCCATGGGTGATGAGGCTGAACCCGCCAGATATCCATCATATGAACCCCAAGTCAGATATGCAAACATAGACCCATAATAGCCTCCAGGAGGGGTCATCTATGACGGTGGCACGGCGGGGTCATAAAACCAGGTGAAGGCGGCGGCGACGACATCTGGTAATGGAAAGGCGACTGTATCATATATGGCTGTGGCATCATAAATAACTGCAGTGGCTACTGTGAAGGTTATGCTGGTATAGCTGAGGATGAACCGGAAGCACCTGTTCTCCGTCCACGAGTCGGGGGACGATGGTGCTATGTCGGTGAACGTCTCTGTCAACGTCGCGGAAAGGTCTGCCCTTGTGCATCCTCGGGAAGCAGAAACAGTTTCCCGTTACTGTTGAACCACTCATAATAACCATAGTATACATCAAGAGGTCATCAAAAATGGGCTCTCTACGGGGAAGGCGCCGATATCGATCCTCCCATAATACGACCCACTCATGATGCCTCACCAGCCAATTTGTATATGTCTTGTCGCGTCTATCTAAGCTATGCAACTCGTCCATATTGCGAGGTGCTTATGGAATTGGTTGAAAACAACCAAACTGCCTGAGCACGCAATCAGTAGAGTGCCACTCGACAGTCGCATAACAGATCAAAGGGACCATCGCCATCCAAACATCTGATGGGCCTATCAACTCAGGTGAGATCACCTCCCTCACATCTTCAGTACAATATGGCACCCATTCAAACTAAAACAAATATTATATAATTTTTTATCAAAATAATAATCTAATTATATAACTATAATCTAAAATCGATTTTTAAACATTAAAATTCATACTTGTATGCCAGCCTGCTGATCGATGAGCACCCTAATTTTTTCTAAATCATCAGGTAGCTCCTGATGATTTTTGCTATTAGTAGACCACCTATTCAAGGAAAAAAAATTATTATACGCTGTATAAATTTATTAATATACAAAATCAGTTTTATAATTACCTCAGAAGTAGTGGAAATACGAATGAGTTCTTCACAACGGGACATAAAAAGGGCAATCGATACCATGCCCAAGATTGCAGCAACAGGAGACATCCGCCGATAGCATTACGCCTGTAGTCAGTGGCTCCACAAATCTCCTTGTACAGCAAAGCCAAAACTGCCGAGCCCCAACTGAATAATCCGGCCAGACGAAAGTCGCTAAGATGTCGCAACCACATGCAGTGAACTAGGTTGCGCGATTTGTCCGGCATCAGCAATCCTCCTATCAACTGCAGTATGCATGCCCGTGTATACATCTTAACTTCATCCTCAGAGGCGTCTGCGCTCAACTCCCGAAAATTGGCATCTAACTAATTTAACGGTATCCTACCTCCGATAAAACTTTTTGGGAAACGTCCTAGATTATCCCAGCACAAAGTAGTCCAGGAACCCTGCGAGATCCCTGATATCATATCTCCATCCACCGGAAGCCCTAGGTGCATAGCAACATCCTCAACTGTAATCATGTACTCTCTGCACGGAAGATGGAATGTGTGGGTCTCCGGCCTCCACCGCTCTACTAAGGCAGAAATAAGGTCTGGTTCTATCTTGCAATGACCCTGATATCTACCTATGTAACCAAATCCAGCCTATACTAAATACGACAAGACACGGCTAGGTATCACTAACTTAAGATTCCTAATAAAAGGATCTAATACACAATCCTTCTCCTAAAATTAAATAATTACACAAATTAATTCTTAATCTAATAATCATGCATTAAATAAATCAACAAATTATTACAAATAATTTAAATTAAATTAAAACGTTAAAATGTTATTGTATTAGAAAAGTGTCGAGATATATGATTTCCATCCAAGCAAAGTTGATCGCCTTCCATTATATATCTGCAAAAAAATTATATTAGTAAAATATTAAATAAAGTAAAATGCTTAAATAAATTAAATACATAATATTAAAAATATTATAAAATATACCTTAAACAGAGAGAGTATTTGAGAGAATATGGTATGATTAAAGTAATAGAGGAGGGGGTATTTATAGGGATGAGTGGGGGGGTAATTAAAGGTATAGCGCGCCCCCTGTATCGCGTTATACCCCACGTGTCAGATAAACAACTATAGCGCGGATCAGGGGGCGCGCTATACCCACGTGTAAGCCATGTCAGCGTATAGCGCGGTACATGGGGTTCGCTATACCCCACGTGGCACCAAATCAGCATATAGCGCGTGACAGGGAGCGCACTTTACTGCTAAGGGTGTTAGATCGGGAAATATAATCTGACCGGTGTTAGATCGGTAAATATACCGGTCACCGGTGATTTTTCGAGAAAAGCGCCTTATATCTCAGGTGAGAAAGCAAAGCCTTGTAGTTTCATATTCGGTTTAATGACTGAAACATGTAGGGATGGACCGATGGGGTTGGGGTGTGGTCTCACCCTATAGACATTTTAAATTCCCTTATTTTTTAGTTTTTTTTATATTTTTCATTGATCATCTAATTTCTTACCCACTAAAATTTTATAACTTCGCACCCTAAAATTTTTAATATAGTTTCTTAAGTTCTCACCTTCTAACATAAATTTCACTATCTGTCCTTGTATTTACTTGCATGTACCCAATAAACTAAAATACTAATACAATCCAAGGTTTCTTATAAAAAAATCCAAGGTTTTTCCACGCATGTTTTTTTACTTACAAAAAAAAAAGCATAAACCCTAGAGAATATGTGAATATACCTGATTCTATGGTGACAATGCTTGATTCTCACATTTACGAACCATTTCTCGTTTTATCCTTTCTACTATGTAGAAATGTATATATAAAGTGAGAACAAAATAACTGAACAAATTGAATATTTTTTTAATAATATGGAATGATTATATGGTATCTATTCAGATTATTTTTTTAATATATGAATAACGCACACATCCGGCAACTGTTCGAACTCATGTCATTGTTGTTGGACTGTAGTCCATAACTTTGGTGATTAATTGTGGATCGGAGGCTTCCTTGTTGCTGGAGTGTAGTCCATAGATACTAATTCATCAACCTTAACATGATCTTCTCCATGAATTTCTGTAGCGGTATGCACTTGATCATCATGGAATACTTTCTGAGGTTTCTTATCCACCGGCATATTTCTCGCTGAAAAACAATAAACAATAAGAGTTCAGATTGACAGATTGGATCTCCTTCTCCATGTACCTATCAAACTAATAGATATTAAACTACATAAAGCTATAAGATTCAAAACTTTACCCGTAGCTGTTTTAGAGATGAAGATGAAGATGAAGAAAGCAACAAGAAGAATATGCTTGCAGGAAACCCTAGCCATGTATATCACTTCGTTTTTTCTCTTCTTTTTTTCCCCTGGATTATTTATCTTTGCTGTGAGAAGCATATTAAAGTTGGGTTGCTCTTATATAGAAGCAAAACTTTATCAAATCCAACATATTGAATCGAAAACTAAAAGTTTGTCTGATTCGACCTCTGTTGGGTGTATAAAACGGACACAGGGTGGGGTGATGGACCATTTCATGAAGGGAAAAGCCACGTGAATTGAGCTCGATTCATCAGCTGGAGGGGTCCTCCTTGTCCTCGAAATGAAAAACATACGCAAAACATGATTTATACGGCTAATTCAGGCCTTGAAGAGGAGATGTTCATAAGGCAGTTTATCACCCGAAACGCAACAAAAAATGAAAATCACCAGGACTGTGATGTGACCTCTCTCAAGTATATGCTTCCGGGAACAACAGCACATGAACTTTAGGTATATCATTCAGGCTTCTGTTAATGAAGCTGAGATTATGTTGATTCTTTTCTATTATGGTCGATTATAGGAATAAACTGGACAGTAAGATAGATCTGTAAAAATGAAAAAGACGGTCAGTGTCCGTTAAATGGACATAGACGGTAGATGAACATGCGAAGAAAGTAACGAGTAAAACAAATGAAAAAATAAAAAAATAAGAATGACTAAATTGTAAAAGGTGACTTTATTAAGCAGTTTAAGTGGTAAAAGTAAATAGCGTTCTTCATAGAAATTTTAGATTCAAGCAGTTATGTCTGTCGAGTATGTGTCATCAATTATAACAAAATTCTGAATTAGATATTACCTTATAATCACTTCATGAAATCATGATAAACTGTTAAATAGGTTTTCACATATGTAGTTGACTTGAAAGAAAAAAGAGGAGACAAGAGAAATGTGAATGGGGCTACCTTGTGCTCCAAACCATATGACAATCTCTTGTTGTTAGTAGATGGAAGGATTGTGACCATGTCTGCCCTAGTGTAGCATCCGATGACTTGAGTTATGTATCTATATATTTTATTATGTTTTAATCACCTTTATAATATTTTATATTTATGTCAATTTTGATATGATAGTAGTTTGTATTATATAAATAAATAAAATAATTACCCATGATGTCCACAAATTATTATCCTCATTTTGTATTGGTCTTTAAACTTTAACATGTTTTATATTAGTTCAAAAATTATGATCTATTTTTAAATTAGTCCCTAAAATTTGTAATATTCTATGTTGATCTTTAAATTATCAATATCATTCTATTTCAGTCGTCCCGTTAATATATCTTTTACTTTATTAGTTAAAAAAGTAATATATTTTTGAAGGACATGGAAATTGAACCTGTGACCTTCTAAAAATTTCATAGGACCTTAAAAAATATTTTTTTTTAAATTAGGTCATAGGTTCAATTTTCAAGACTTTCAAACAATCAATAAAGTTAACGACATATTAATTAAATGATCAAAATGAGATGATATTGATAGTTTGATGACTACTATAACATGTTTTAAAGTTTAGAGACAAATCTAAAATGAGTGTTATAGTTTGAGGACTTCTTGTCTCAATAACTCTAAATTTATGTTTGCTATTTTCAACAGGTGGGTAAAATACATAAATTGTCACTAAATTGTGCGGGATGATCTTTTATAGACACTAAATTTTAAAAACTACAAAATTAGCATTAAATTATCAAAATTATTATAAAGTGGTCACTACGTGTTATAAAATATTGATAAATTTCAATAAATTTAAGGATCATTTTGTATAATGACCACTTTATACCGGTTTGATAAAATTTAATAATTATTTTGTGACTTTCGAAAATTTTGAGACTGAAATGATGATCTTCACATAATTTAGTGACCAATTATATACATCATAATATTATTAGGTCTCTGTATTTGATCAAATTCTTTCAAATCTCGAACCAAGGGCCATCAGCACCGCTCGTAGTTTGATGCGTATGAAAAAATGGAACCTCATCGGGGATGAGAGACTGACAGCATGCCAAAGCAGGCAGGAATTGATTGACAAAAATCACTTGAAAGGATCATTGCCTTTACAACAGCTGATTGTTCCATTTATGTTGCAGTCTGGCATGAGCCGATGCCGTGGGAACCAGCCATGTGGTGCCAAAACTTGATGGCAATCACGGTACAATTATTTCATGGATTTACCCTGCAATAGACAATAATTCTACTGGTAATCTTTCATGTACATAGATCCGAATTCCATGAATTAAATTCTTCAGCTCGTTTGCTTTAAGCTTGTTTAAACCATGAACTGGAACCCTATTAAGGATTATAATATCAGAAACCAGGCAACTCAAAAAGAATAAAACCAACGCCAAATGTTTTTTTACATCAATGTTATAAATGACTGACTTGTCACGATAACTTTCCTTTCTTTATATGACTAAAACAATAAGACCAACGATGTTTTATTTATTTATAACCAAAATGACGGAAGGAATAAATTAGTAACTCACACAGTCATATAATTTCACCTCAACAGAGAGACCAAAGTCCCCATCACCATCTCTTTTTATTCAACACCGAAGAGTTTAGATATCTTCTCCGGATCAAGTGTTCGGAAATCCAATGTAGACATAGACCTGCGGTACTGAGGATTGCCCAGGTTGTTCTTGATATCCTTTATAGAAGCCTGTAACAGAGTGAAATTCTGAATGTTTTGAGTAGCATTCGGATGAGCCTATGTTCACGCAGCTGCTTTCGGGTTCGAACGTAGAAGCGGAGAAACCGATACCGGAAATACGTCTTCTTTATGATTGATCTGCTTCACTAGATAAGAGCTGCTCGTCTTCCATTTCCTTTCTGCTTCTCCAAGTAAGATAAAAAAAATTGATCAGTAATCAATTATGTGACAACCCGGAATATATATATATATATATATATTTGATTAAGCAATTTAGTGAAATTTGAAGATTAAATTAAAAGTTTTCAAAACTTGTAGGTTATATTGGTTATATATGCTTGCAATTGGTTATATATTGGTTACCCTTGAAGTGTCGGCATAATATTGGTTATATATGCTTGCAATTGGTTATGTAAAACAGAAACCAATTGCTCTAATTACTCCTTCAGCACCCTACTTCCAAACCCGATCCCGACGTCGTCCGGCCACCGATTGTCGATTTGAAACCACCATCGTGTTCGTCTTCGACCGATGAACAAAACCCGTAAACCAATTGAAGTGAAACACGGTCAAACGTCGTAAATTCTGATTCAAAGTTTCGACCTTTTTTTAGCACCACCGCCAGGAAAATCTTAAATTCATCGCAGATCGTTGCTCCGTTTTTGACACCTCCCGCACCATCGTGTTCCTTGTGTCGTTTCGAGTCCGCCGGTGTCCTCCTTGTCTCCGTCGTCGCCGGTGCGTGAGGGTGGTGAAGCAGTCGAAGTTTTCGACGTGTTGAAATCGAGCTCTCCGCCGTTCAAAATTTTGAACCGAGCCTGGTAAGTGTCTCTGTAGGCTACTGCACGCTTCTGGCGCGTGTGGGTAGTTTCTTGAACCGGTTTGACCCGACCCGTTGACCAAAAAGTTAAATTTTTCGAAAATTTACATTTTAAATTTTTCGAAATCCTGAATTCGAATCCGAAGTCCATTTTTCCAAATTCGAACCCAAAAGCCTTGAAATTGACAGTCAAACCCATTGACTTTGACCAAAAAGTCAAATTTTTTTAAAAGTCATATTTTATGTTTTTCGACGTCCTGAGTCTGATTCCGAAGTATGTTTTGCTAAATTCTAACCCGTAGTATTTTTTATTATTTATTTAAGATATGGTTATGGAATTGATCTAGTAAGATATTTTATAAAGGTACTCGTGTTTCACCTGATCGAGGATCAGTTAGGTCTGGGGTTGTCCGTTCGTCAGATTCACCCGAACCACATACTACGAGAATTACCCATATATTTCCGTAAATTATTTAAATAAAATTTAAGATTATTCATATTAGGATTCCAATATGGATTTTTTCGATTCGTAGGATCTAGGGCTGCAGCAGAGCGTGATCGACAGACTCAGTAGTAGGCTTCCATATCTGATTTCTCAGACTGTTACAGGTGTGTTTTCTGACAGTGTTACATTACTGTTTTAAAATATATATATATCTGAACACTGTGTATTTGATATCTTATTTATCGCATATTTCTGATATGATTTCTGGTTACGGTATTTTATATCGATTTCTGAATACTGATTATCCAACATCTGAATTACCGTATATTACTGATTTGATTTCTGATTTCTGATTTCTGTATTTTTGCTTATGGTTTCCAAGCATGAAACATTCTTATATTTTTAAAGGATTATTCATTGTTTTCACTCGAATACATTTATGTTCATTACTGTCATTGGGAGGGGTAATGTTGGAGGAAGATTATCTGCATGCTCCTCGGCTTTGTATTCAGGGCTTTACTGGTTGTGCGGGGTGTATGGTTATGGGGAACCTACATAAACAGATTGTGAAAGGATGGTGGTAGTGTTCATGTTTTTAAAACATGTTGCATAAACCAATTTTACCGAAATATTTTATTAGTATGTTTTTTAGACTGTATGGAACACACTGGGCTTTTTAGCTCATTATGTAAATTTTAACCTTTTCAAATAACAACAGACCGTAATCTAGCAGATTTGGCATCAAGGGAGATCAACTACTTTTACTTTGTACGAACATATATCTCCATATATTTTCAGTTATATTTGGTGACATGTATTTTGCTATAGTATTGAATATATTCGTATCACTGATATTTTATTCTGTAAATGTTTTATAATGTTTCTGTGATATTTTGATATGTATGTGTTTTATATGGTTTTCTAAAATATGTATTAATATCTATTAATCGTATGAATCCTTATCATGAAAAAATTTCACATATTACTGAGACATGGATTTCAACGTTGTTTTAAATATAAAAAGAATTTTTGAATATGATAAGTAATCACCTAGACATGGGCATAACGTCCAGTCCGGGTGTAGGAGATTACATTTGGTAGTATCAGAGCTTTCATTTTTAAACACTCGGATTGTGGATGA